GGAGGAGGAGGAGGAGGAGGAGGAGGAGGAGGAGGAGAAGAAGAAGAAGAAGAAGAAGAAGAAGAAGAAGAAGGAGAAAGAAGAGAAGAAGAAGGCTGAGAAAGAGGAAGAGTACGAGAGAACGAAGAGATGAAAAGTAGGAGGAGGCCGAAGAGGATGAGGAGAACGAGGGGGGGGTAAGAAAGAGGGGAAGGGAGGAGGGGCGAGGGGGAGGGGAAGCCGAGGGAGGGCAGAGGGGGCTTTAATCCCTCCCCTCAAATAAGGAAAAGCTAATTCGGTCGGCGGAGAGAGAGCTTGATCTTCATCTGTCAACGTCGCAAGTTTTCCCTCCGACGAGATCAAAATGGCGCCGACCATATTTGTTGCTTGGCTGCTTCTTCGCCCGGACCTTCGGGGGAAAAACTCACAATTTAAGGGTTTCTGTGAGTGAAGGAGATGGGCGGCCGGAGGATGGGCTGAGGGAGGGAGAAGGATGGTCCGAAGGATGGGGAAAAGGAAGAGGGAGGAAGGGAAGGAGGGATGAATTGGGGGGAGGAGGATAAAGAGGAGGAAGAGTGGGAGGAGGAGAGAAGGAAAAGAAGGAAAAGGAGATGGAGGAGGAGGATGGGGTGGAGGAAAAGGAAAAGGAGGGGGAGGAGGAAAAGAAGGAAGAGGAAAAGGAGGAAAAGAAGGAGGAGGAGGGAAAAAAGGAGGAAAACCGAGGAGAAATCTGGCTCGTTTCTTCCGGCGGCGTCGAGGGAAGGGATTCCGAGTCGATTATTATTTCACGATCAAATCCTGTTTAAGAGGATTGTGTTGGGCGAGTAGTGTCACAGGGGAGGGGGGAGAGGGAGGGAGGGAGGGAGGGAGGGAGGGAGGGAGGGAGGGAGGGAGGAGGGAGGAGGGAGGGGGAGGGAGGAGGGAGGAGGAGGGAGGAGGGAGAGAGAGGATAGACCTCAAGTGCATGGAGGACGAAGCAGGGAGGGGGGAGGAGGAGGAGAAGGAGGGGGGAAGGAAGGCGAAAGAGAAAAAGAGGGAAGGGAGGAGGAGGGGGAGAGGGGAGAGGGGAGGGGAGGAGGGGGATGTCGGTTGGTGGAAAAAAAATGCCGCTTAAAAGTTTGCTATGCTTTCATGCTCGGCCTCGTGTTGAATAGTGTTTCCGGTGGTGGAGGCGAGCAGGAAATTTTATTTGTTCAACTGACTGACTTCCCTTCTACCGCCACCACGGTCGCCGCAGGAATCCCGTCAATCTTCTCTTTTAATTCTTATCGGATGAAATAATCACATCAGCTCGCCACTCCCGACGTCAATCCTCAACTCTAACCTAACGCACCACACGCACTTCTTGCTCTTCCAACGGAATCTAAACAGATCTAGATTAACGCAACACTGAATCCCAAACTATCAGAAAAATACAAATAAAAAAATAAACAAACAAAATGGCGTGAAGGAAGGAAAAAAGAAGCAAGGGCAAGACATCATCCAAATCAGGTCTCGGATTCCGCTTCACAACTACACAAGGCGGATATAAAAGAGCTCTTCAAACGGGTCATCATCGACTCAAGGCAACATAAATACATCATAAATACGGGTCGCATCGCGGCCAAATCCGGAGCGATTTTCCTATCTCTCTTGTTTCCTTCTCTCTTCTTTCGTTCTTTTTCTCTGTCTATCTTTCGCGCCGGTTTATCTTTTTCTTCTGTTTTGGCTTTTTTATTTCTCACTTGTGTTTTACATCAGGGTTTTTATGTGACGTCACGTGACCTGAATTAAGGTGAGGAGACACCGAAGAGAAGAAGAAGAAGAAGGAGGAGTAGGAAGAGAAGTCAAAGAAGAAAGGGTGGAGGAAATTGACGACAGAGAAACAAGAATAAGATGAAATGAAAGAAAGCAATTTGGAAAAATGGGAGAAACAAAGGACAGACAAAATCCAATCGAGGAAGACGGGGAGAGGGAAGACCTCCTCCTCTTATTTCCTCCCACTCCCTCTCTTCTTCTCCTTCCTCCACCTTCTCTTCCTTCTCCTTCTCCACCTTGCGTGTCTCCGCCCGGGAATGTATTGGTTGTCTTCGAGGCGAGGTTGACGGCCTTCGGGTCCTTTGTTTACTCTCTGCTTCCTCCTTCGTCTTCTTTTCTTCTTCGATTCCTTTTTCACCTGATTTTTCTCTTCTTATTCAGTTTGATGGAGAGTTCATGATCGGACTTTTTTTTTGGAGGATCTTTTCTATATTGTGGATGTTGTTTGAGGCCAGCGTGAGGAGGGTGCGAAGAGAAGGCGAGTGATAAAGGTGGGAAAGAAAGGAAAGAAAAAAGGATCTGCAGGTAAGGTCAGAAACAGAAATGTGGAAATGGAAAGAAACGGAAGAAGGAAAGGAGATAAGAAGGGCCGAGAATTGCCATTAGCCGAGGAGGACCAGAGGCAGGAGGCCCGGCGACGACGCAGCAGGAGGAGCAGCCGCGGCAGAAGGGCGCGATGAGCGGCGTCCGCCCCGAGGCAGCTTTAGGCCCCGGCGGCCAATGGGGGCGGACGCAGGCTCATCAGGGCGCGGAGGGCGCGAGCTCTTTGGGCGGGAACGAGCGGGGTCGAGAGCGCCAGCCACTTTTTCGACGCTCTCCGAAAGCCAACGAGGCCATTAGCGACGGGAACAAGGTCCTGATGAGCGCCGCCGCTTCTTCTGCTGAGCAGGAGACGCGATGATGGCGGAGGAGGGGGGGAGGGGAGGGGAGGGAAGTAGTAGTAGGAGGAGGAGGAGGGAGGCAGGCAGGGGGAGGAGGGGGAGGCACTGGAAGGCCATACCTATGACACAACAAGGCGCTGAAACACGGGCCCTTCGTGTGAATGTGTGCCTGGGAGTAAAAAAGGAGAGAGAGAGAGAGAGAGAGGAGAGAGAGAGAGAGAGAGAGAGAGAGAGAGAGAGAGAGAGAGAGAGAGAGAGAGAGAGAGAGAGAGAGAGAGAGAGAGAGACTCCCTATCGCTCTCATGATTCGTGAAGGACCGAAAGCCTACAACTCGTCGCGGGAAACCCTGATCCACAAAAGAGGTTTTCTTTTCCTTATTTTTACATTTCTATAAAAATGAATTTTCCTTTGGAAGGTGGAGGAGGGGGTTGTGGGTGAGGAGGGGTGGGTGAGAGGAGAGGGAAGAGAGGGAGAGGATGGGATACGGTTACAGGGAGCAGGAGAGAAGGGGAGGAGGAGGGGACCGGGGAAGAGGGAGAGGGCCGTGGCAGGGGGAGGGGAGGGGGAGGCAGGGGGAGATTTATGCGTAGAATAAATGGCTGGTAAGTTAGGCAGGGCGCGCCCTAGAAGAGTCGGAGAGTCGCCTGCACAATCTGCAATGCAAATGAGCGCGGAGGAAGAGGATAACGAGCGGGTCGCCCCCGTATTAAACATAAACTCCGCATTACGCTCTGCAATCCATAGTTAAACTCATCAGCAAACACCAAGCGCTGTTCGGCGTCCCCAGGAGCACAAATGGCCGCTCGCTGTGCCCGCCTCTTTTGCTCTTCTTTCCCCAGAAATACATCTATTTTTCCTTTCTTCCCTTTCTCTCTTTCGGGGTGGGGAAGGGCATGGAGGGAAAGAGAAGGGCGCGGGTGGGGTCCCAGGACACACAAGTCTCTCTCTCTCTCCGCGTAGGATTAGAAAAAAGGGAAAAAATGAAGGCCGTCGTAAAATCAGGATTCCCGGAGCGACGTCGTCGGGATAATGGGCTCGCCAGCGGCCCGGGATGATCCATTAAAATTTTGCTTCGTTGGTGGATGGGGAGAGAGAGAAAAAGCGAGGTCACGGAAAAAGGGATTAGCCTTTTTGGGGCCTCCTTGCGGCCGCGTTGCGCGTGCCCATTGTCTGGCCTCGTGCGGTGATACAGGAATTGAATTATGGGTAAATCTACATGCATATTATATATATATATATATATATATATATATATATATATATATATATATATATATATATATATATATACACACATACACATATATGCGGTTTACAGAATTGTCGTATTACGTGGCCACCGCGATAAATTCGAGGCGGTTCATAAGGGGCGTCGAGCAAATTTCCGCGCAGTCTCGAGGCCAAGAAGCGCAGCGCTTCCCCTCGTCGAAGTCCCTCCGTCCGCGGCGGCCGCAGACGGCGCACTGAGAGGCATCGGCGGCGAGGAGGCTCTTTCGCCCTTCCTCTTCTTTCGCTCTCGCTCTCTCCCTCTCTTTCTTCTTCCTCCTCTCTCTACTTTTCCTTGTTGCCGTCTTGGCACCGCAAACACCCTCGGCCACGGGTTGCACGGGCAAGCGGCGCTGCAGTTCGCTTCTCCCGTCAAAGGGCTTTGTAATGAGGTGCGGAAGCGTCCCTCACTCGCGCCGCGCCTGGAAAGGGAAGGCAACTCAAACGTCTCAAGACTTCTACTTGTGCAATCACTAAACACTACAGTTGGTTCTAGTGCCTACCACAAACTAGCTTGTATACATCTATACATATATTTGTGAATATATACATACATACATACATACATACATATATATATATATATATATATATATATATATATATATATATATATATATATATATATATATATATATATGCATATATACATATACATATAAATGCATGCATGTATATTTGTATATGTGCATGTATATATATGTATATATATGCATCTGTACACATGTGCGTTTGCAGTGTCTACGTGCAGACAGGGGCGGCGCCAGAGGGCGGCGCCGGTGGTCAGAGTGCGAGGTGCCCAGGGCTGCGAGCGCACACGGCGCAGCCTGTTGTGCGGAGCTAAACACTTGACACGTGAAGGTGCAAACAAACAAACAACAACAACAACAACAACAGCCCTGCCTCCTGCCTGAGGGCGCGGGCGGAGGGCAGGGCGAGGGCGTGCAGGCAGGCTGGTCAGAAACAAGCAGGCTGGTCTGCGTGCAGGGCAGCCAGGCCGGAGGCCGAACGGCCGGCAGGCAGTGCAGGCATGAGGCAGGCCGAGGGTCTCCGGGAGAGGGCGGGGCCGAAGTTACCTGTTGATGGAGGACACGGAGGGCACGTTCTCCTGGGTGCACACGGCCTCCGCCAGCAGCCTGTCGCGAATCTCCCAGGCGAACATGGTGGGGTTCTCGCGCTTGTACCTGGCGATGGCCTCCACCACCACGGGCGTCGCCACCTTGGGCTTGGAGCCCCCGATGACGCCCGCCTTGTAGCTGCCGGTCTCATAATATCTAGAAGAGAAACGACGGCGGGGTTAGTGTCTGCGTCCTGGCACCCACCTGTTTATGCTGGAGACGGAGGGCACGCTCTCCTGGTCGCACACGCAGTCGGAGAGCAGCCGCTCGCGGATCTCCCACGCGAACATGGTCGGGTTCTGCTTCTTGTAGTTGGCGATGGCGTCCACCACCGTGGGCGTGGCCACCTTGGGCTTGGAGCCGCCGATCACGCCCGGCCGGATGGACCCCGTCTCATAGTACCTGCAACAAGAACGACACTTTGGCGACCGCGTCCTTCGCTCCGGCCTGGCGAGTCTCCGCCGCCAGCGCCGCCGTCACCGCCGCTGCGTTAGTGGTCGAAGCTGGTGTGAGTCGCGGGAAGGCTGGGTTAGAAGGGTTAAAGCCCGGAAGGAAGGGGCGCGGAGGCCCCGCATGCACGCTGGTTAGCGGAGGAAATGATGCATCTAAAGGGTATTATATCAGAAAAAACAAGAAGATTAAATCTAAATTAGTAGTTATATAACATTTTCGCAGCACACATACACAGACGCACACACATGCATTTGACAACCCTGAGATACATGATTTACATTAGTCTCTTCACTCCGAGCATGTCGGTTTTACTCTGCGGTCGCCACATCCCCGTTTCATTATATCTCCGCGCGTAATTTAAATGTATTGACGCTCCTTTAAGGAAGAAAATGGAGTTCCACGCGTTCAAACAAGGGCGGAAATGCCCTGCATATTACAACCTCACGGCGCTTCAAAAGTTATCCTGGCAAGTGTTAGATTGTGAAAAATTTCTCCTCATTCCCCGCACAAAAATTACCGTTCTCCGGTCATGAAAAATCTATCTATCTATATATATATATGTACACAAACACACACACACACACACACACACACACACACACACACACACACATATATATATATATATATATATATATATATATATATATATATATATATATATATATATATATATATATATATATATATATATATATATATATATATATATATATATATATATATATAATATATATATACAAGCTCTTTGTGGCCAGTCTCCCTCCCCTAAAAAGCTAACTTGTCACCCAACTTCCCAGCATAAAACCAAAACCTCCTCCTAAAAGGAAAAAAGAGAAGGAAGGAAGAAAGGAAGAGGGGAAGGAAGGAAGACCAAGAAGAATAAAAAATCTTCGGGGCCCTCCCATCCTTCCCTCCTCCTCCACCCCCTTTTCCCAGCCACTTGAAGGGCGCGACTGACAGCCCTCGCCCGCCCGCCCTCTCCGCCCGGCCTTGTGGGCCTCCAGCCCTCCTCTTCCTTCTTGCCTCGCGCCCTTCCTTCTCCTCCCTTTCCTCCCTTCCCTCATCCCTCCGGCCTTTCCTCCAACTCCCGTCCTTCCCAGTCATCCTCTTCCCCTCCGCCTCTTTCCTCGCCTTCCCTCCTTTCCGTCCTCCATTTCCCTCGCAGGTTCTCCCCCTTCTTCCTTCACTTCCTCTTTCCCTTCTTCCTCCCTCCCTCCTTCGCTCCCTTTTCCAGCCTTTAACCATCCTTTCCATCCTCCATTCCCTGGCAGACTCGAAGGCAGGTTCACTCCCTCCCTCCGCCCCTTCCTCTCCCTCTCTCCCTCCGTCCCTCCGCCCCTTCCTCCCCCTCTCCTCCGTCCCTCCCTCCCTCCGCCCCTTCCTCTCTCTCTCTGTCTCCCCTCCTCCGCCCCTCCCTCCCTCCCTCCTCCCTCCGTCCCTCCGCCCCCTCCCTCCCTCTCCCTCCCTCCCCGCGGCGCCCCTAATCCCGCCTCACCGCCGGCCGCCAAACTCCCCCACTCCGCCACCGACGTGTCTTAGGCCCTTCCCGCCCGCGTCCTGATTGGATTATGCAGATGAGCAGCAACACATGGTTTTGAGTCATTTCCCGCCACACTCTGGGGAGCGAAGGGAGGAGCAGGAGGAGGAGGAGGAGGAGGATGGAGAGAAGAAGAGGAAAGGGAGCAGCAGCAGGAGGAGGAGGAGGAGGATGGAGAGAAGAAGAGGAAAGGGAGAAGGGGGAGGAGGAGGAGGATGGAGAGAAGAAGAGGAAGGGGAGAAGAGGGAGGAGGAGGAGGATGGAGAGAAGAAGAGGAAAGGGAAGAGGAGGAGCAGGAGGAGGAGGAGATTGAATCACGGAAAAGGAGGGGGAAGAGAGGAGGGTGAGGAGCAGGAGGAGGACGGAGAAGAAATCGAAGAGAGAGAGAGAGAAAAAAAAGGAGAATCGTTACGAGAAAATGGAAATGTGAAGAGAGAGAACCAAAGCGAAAAGGAAGAAGCGGATAAAAATAACAAAATGTTAGAAAAGGAAGAGGAGAGAGAGAGAGAGAGAGAGGAGAGAGAGAGAGAGAGAGAGAGAGAGAGAGAGAGAGAGAGAGAGAGAGAGAGAGAGAGAGAGAAGGGAAAGACGGCAAGATAAACAGGCAGCGAAGGCTTGAAAGGCAGACTGGAGGATCGTCGAGAGCAGCCATTTGGGAAGAGGGGGAAAGGGAAGAAGGAGAGAAAGCGGGAGGAGAAAGAGAGGGAGAGAGGGAGGAAGGGTGGGGAAAGAGGAAAACGATAATGAAGAAGGGATGGGGAAAGAATAACAGGAGGAAAAGAAAGAAGATGAATGGTGAAGTGGGGGAAGATGAGAAGGAGGAGGAGGGGGCGGAAGAAAAGGCAGGAGAAGGAGAGGAGGGGCGGGGGAAGGAGGCCGGGGGGAGGGGCAAGCCACACACTTCACTTGTGTTGGCTTAAGTTCTTTATACATGTTTCACGCAAGTTACTTCTACCAATGAACTTCGCGCTCTTCTGCACATTAAAGCTGCAGAACTTTTTCTCGGCATATTTTCTCCTTCCTTTTTACGCTTTTTTTTTCTTCCTCCTTTCCTCTCTTCGTCTCTCTCATTCTCTCGCTCTCTCGTAAATGAAAGCACTCAGCGACTGCATTAAGAATGAGAAAAGAAAATGCATTCATGATATTTTGTGCAGTTCATATTCGTTACACTAGGGACGCTGTGCCCTGATGTGCATGCGATGGGAGAGGGAAATAAACGGAGAGGAGAGAGAGAGAGAGAGAGAGAGAGAGAGAGAGAGAGAGAGAGAGAGAGAGAGAGAGAGAGAGAGAGAGAGAGAGAGAGAGAGAGAGAGAGAGAGAGAGAGAGAAGAGAGAGAGACAGAGCGAGGAGGGACAAAACAAGCCATAACAAAATGGCGGCCAACGAAAGAACGGATCCCAAGTTAGTGAACAAGGGGAGCGCCGCCCCCCCTCCCCCCCGACCCAACCCTCTGCCTCCCCTCTTCTCCTTCTCTACTGCCTCTCTCTCTCTCCCCAAACCTCCTCACCCCTCCTACGCCCCTCCTCTCCCCCCACACCAGGCCAAGCTGAGCCACCCCTCGCACCGCCCCCCCCCTCCCCTGTGCCCCTTCCCCGCCCCCTCTGCCCCTAAGACAGTAAATATCCCAAGTGACGTTAAGCACAGTCACGCAGGAAATAAAAGGCGGAGTTGGGGATATAAAGATGTGGGGAGAAGGGAAGGAAGAAGGGGGAGGGCAGGGAGGAAGAGGAAGAAGAGGCGGAGGAAGAAGAAGGCGAAAAAAAGAGGGAAGGAAAAGAAAGAGGAGGGAGAGGAGAGGGAAGGAAGGGGAATGGAAGGAGGGAAGCGACTGAGACAAGATGGGGTCGCCCTTGTTAGGTCCCTGAACGCCCCCGCCCGCCCCCCTCCCCCCTCCCGCGGACACAATAGGTACAAGCCGCCTTCGACAGCTTATCGCAAGAAAGCCGAAGCCGCCTTTCTGGCCGAAGTCGACACCTTAAAACAATTCCAGAAGCGAGGAAGAGAGAGAAAAAGGGAAAACACTTCGAGCAGGACCTTCCTGGGTCACAGCGCGCTCCTCCTCAAGGCCCGCGCCCGACGAGCCCCTTCCATTCACTGTAAAGTCACAGATAAGAGAGAAAAAAGCCCTCCCCTTCCTCTCTCCTCCCCCTCCCCCTCCTCCCCCCGCGCACACCTCCAGAGCTTTGCCTATAAATCTCAAGAACATATTCCAAGATCAACTTCTTCCAGGAATATAGAGTGGGCGGTCCGTATACAAACTTTCTCCCCCTAGGCTCTCTGGAACGCAACAAAATTCCCATTCCAACTTTGAAAACATTCCGGGCCGCTTCTTGACAGCTCGACCTTCGGCCCGGGTGACTTAAGAGCCAGACTCGCGCGCGACGGTCAGGACCCAATTTAAGGCACTCTCCTCCGCTATATGCAAGTATTTTCATGGGAATTTGGGGATTCTGAAGGAAATAAACAGGATTGAGACGGATGAAAGAAATCGGGCCGAGGGGCGCGGCGGCGGATGACTGCCCTCCGCCCGCCAGGCGAGGAAGGGGCGCCGCCCTTTGATCCGCCGACGCCGAAGGGAATCGAATATCCCGCAGAAGGGGCTGCGACCCCGCCACGCTCCCATGACCTCGCTCCTGCGGGAGGGAGGGAGAGAGGGAAGAGGGAGAGAAGAGGGAGAGGGGAGAGGAAGAGAGGAGAGAAGAGGAGAGGAAGAGGGAAGGAGGGAGGAGGAAGAGGGAGGGAGGGAGGGAGGGAGGGAGGGAGAGGAGAGGAGGGAGAGGAGGGGGAGGAGAGAGAGAGAGAGAGAGAGAGAGAGAGAGAGAGAGAGAGAGAGAGAGAGAGAGAGAGAGAGAGAGAGAGAGATAGAGAGAGAGAGAGAGAGAGAGAGTTCTTAACGCTGGACACGAAGGAAAAAAGCAAAGGCGGCCAAGCAGACAGAACAAGCCAGCGCAGGCACAAGGCGCGAGCGCCGAGGCTGCGCTGCCGCGCACGTGGCGCTGGCTGCGTGTGGTCTGCGGGTAAATCGGTGCCACCGTCACCGCCGTGACAGAAATGACACCGGGTGCCAGCCTCGTGGCACCGGCACACCACCACAAAAACGCCCACTCCGCCCACCAAAGCGGCTGCCCCGCCCGCCCATGAATCACGCTTTGTCTCACCTTC